TTTGGGGGGGGGGGGGGGGGGGGGGGGGGCGTTCCATAGGTTGTCCACGTTCATTTTCCTACTGCTTTTCACCATGTGACAAGCCCGCATTGTTTTACCTCTAACTGTTCGGAGGTCGCTCCATTTTCGGCATCATTGGTGGCATGGGCCTACGCTAGTATATATGCTGCTCACCGTAGTGCACCACTTCGCGATATGCTGAATGTAACTCAGCACACACCTAGACTTTTAAGCATTCACAGGAAGATCCACCAGTCCCCGTATAAATCTTAACCTTGCAAACTGAGCGGGTGTTTAATCCAGTGCGGGGGGTTACAACACGATTGATTGTACTAGGACTTCATGTTGCTGTGTTGTCGGTGTGTGGTACACCTTTCGAACATCGATGAAGTACAGCAGGACCCCCAATGAAACGTCAAATGACACCGAAAGCATAGCTCTGAAGACGGGGGAGTTTTCTCCTCACCTTTGTCGTATTTCTGATGAAGCAAGGAGCTCAGGTTCTTGTACGACTGTTTCACTTCTTTGCACAGCTGCGCCGTTGCGGGACGGGCTGATGTCTGCCGTAACCAGCATGTTTTCAAGGGACAATGGGCGCATGGGAGGGTCATGCTAGGAACACAATTTTCTACCGGTGGCGTAGCACCAGTAATTCCGTGCGGTTTGCGATGTACAATACCGATATTCTTATTATTCAAATCTCGAGCTTGTGTAACGTTGATCGGAGGCAGCACCGATCGTCGTTCAAAACATGCAGACACACGAAGAAACAAACTTACGAAGATATGGGCAAGAAGCCTCCCACTCATTTGCGCGTCCCTTGCTTGAGGCGACTCCCTCACCTCGGTTTCGGCGTCCATGAAGGTCGAGTCGATGAGGTCATTCCACTTGTCGGGCACGGCGCCGGCGAGTCCGTCGAAGGCCGCGTTTACCAGGTCCCCCTGCATTTGGGTCAAGGATTTTCCTCCTTCACCATCCTCCCCCCACGAGGAAACGGCTGATACCGGTGGCAGGGGTAGACCGGCAACTTCATCCGCGTCGGATGCGGCCGCTACAACCACCACCCCGATCTTCAGGGCCATGCCGATCTTGGAGCCCCACCCGCGAGGCAAACTTATCTTGTACCCCCTGCCATCCTGGCCACACCTATTAGCAGGTATCCATCACCGGCACGTGTTTGGAGCACGTGATATCAAGGGATAGTGAGGGGGGGGTGAAGTTGGTGGTTCCGTCCTGGGGACTTTCCGTAACGTGTTTTCTCGTGTCAGGCAGAGGCTTGGAGCTACCTTGTCGTATGGAGTACTATGGCACGAGGGCGAGGGGGAGTAGCGAGGGGACACAATTGCTTACTGTACTCTCACCAGCCAGGCTTCATGGAAATCGGGCACAAAAAGACCAGTCTTATCGGCTTCTTTAGCCACTCGTCTGTCGTGATGTCGACGCTGCGTGGCTTGCCGCTATCGTCCGGGTAGATCCACGCCAGACGTGGACAATCCACCTCATTTGCGCCACCGACCTGTTACCATCACGCGATCAATGGTGGGCGTTATACGGCTATAGATCGGAAGCGTTTGCTTGCTCGGCAGAGTTGCGAGGTCCGTAACGTTCAGTGCGTAGTCCCAGCCGATGCCCAGCCAACCCGATTGCGTGATTATTTTTTGATACCTTTGTCCGGGTCAACCCTGTTGCTGCAGCCACTTGTTGCTACGCCCGCCCGCCCCGATTGGTACTACAGTTTTTCCCGTGTCATGTGATTCACCATATCACGCAGCCTGGAAACGTGCCCGCGCGTATGCTGGACCGCCGCCGTGTTCAGCTTCTCCACGTTGGGCACCGCCACTGCACCATCATTGTGGTCTCCGTCATCCTCCACCCGTGCGCTTTGCCCTCCGCCAGCCAGAGCCCCCGTGGCGGTTTCCGGTGTCGAAGACGCCGTGTCCGCCGCCCGGTCTAACGGCCACGTATTTCGGTGAGAGACACGACCAACAACGCACGCAATGTTCGACGAAGGAAAAGTTGAGGAGACAGGTGCTACTCTGTTCTGAAGAGCACTGGACACAACGTCGTCGAATGTCCACAACGCAACAGCTTCAGTCATACGAATTATAGCATCCACGCCGCACCTAGGAGAAAAGCACAGGCTTCCTCCAGCAGGAACGAGTTGTGCATCCGGACGGGAAACATCAGCCCGTGCGCCGTTTGTATGGAAGTCACATCCATGGTGGAGTCCCAGTAGATGCCTCGGACGGCCAACGATCCGGCCTTGGCCAGTGAGCTCGCGTATTTGACCTCGTGCCGGACGCGGTCACTCTCCTGGAAGAAGTCACGGGGAGGGAGGGGGGGGGCATACAGATTGTGTTACGTCAACGCCTCTGTACACATCAAATTCGACTTCACGGCCGACCAGGGCAAGGAATGGCTGAATCCATCGCGAAAATAATGAAGGCAAGCACGGACGAAAGAAGGTAGGGGAAAAAATGAAAAACTGCTGTTTAGTGTTCCTCCTGTGCAAACCCAGCTAACTCGTCCAGAAAACATACTGAAAGGCGTCGAAATTGACGTCCAGAATGGATATGACGACACACACAAAGAAAACGATATAGAACAGAAGCCAGAAATGAGGCCCCAGGAAGTCGAAAGCCGTAGGCGACATTTCGGCAAATGGACAACACGTAGATACAGCTTCGCCCCCTCTCGACACGTGTCGTATTGAAGCGTACGGTTTAATTTTTTTCACCAAGCTTCATGGGGTTTTGAAGCACACAACACGGCTCACTGTGCCACCCGCCGAGCGGTATTGTGGTTGGTCGAACATTCGCATACAGCATACTCCGGAGTACCATACATCACACCTTCGCAGACATCGACCAGCATATCTGGAAGATGGACGATTCTCGTATTAGGCGTTTCGTATCCTTCTCGTTTCCATCTTCTGGCCGCCAAACGATGTTAAAGATTCCCAAGCGGTTGAACCATTCTAGGGATGGTATCAGCAGCGGCTTGTCGGCCGCAGCGAAGCAGACGTACATCGTGTCGAACGCCTTGAATTTACGTGTCATGGTATGATACATGACGTGACGCGACGTGGCAAAAAACGGGGGAAAGGTCCACAGGGCGCACGACACGCGGACAGGTGTTTCGGTTTCAGGGGCACATGGGGAGTTCGTCTTCGTATTGGTGTGGGCACCAAGCATCATTCGTTTCGTTTGTGAAAAAAAGGCATTTTCCCAGCCAACAAGAGTTGAGACGGTCGTCTTCATAAACCAATCACGGAAGCAAGATCACGCGAGGACCCCCTCTCCCCCTTCAAGCGCGCATCCACCAAGTCACCTTCGCGACTGGGCCAAGAACATCAGGCTTGTCCGCGGCGCCGCTGCTGTCGTTCGGCTTCACTACGGACATTTCGACGTGGGCCTGGCCTATCAGCACCGCCCCGATGTAGAAGTCCACGTAGCCGGAGATGGTACCGCTGCTGGTAGACGCCGGCGGGCGCACCTCGAAAGGGACGGCGTGGACGTCCTTCATCCACACCACCGTGGAGTTCACAGGGCTAACGCAGCAGGTCTGTGTGGGGTGTTTACAACAGGTGTCGCGCAGCAAAGAAAGGAAGTTTGGTAACAGGGACAGTAGGCTACAACAGAGGGTGGAATGTATGGACTGACGAACGACGCAGAAGTTAGGGAGGAACGAAAAGTGAATGCACTTGAGGGGGCGGCTGCAACACACAGTACTGGTTGCGAGGCTTCGGCGGGTACACTTTTCAGTGTGCTTGGGGAAAATCGTCTTGGCTACGAAGCCCGAAACCTGTTGTTCCGTGTGGGATTCAGCTGCGAGCAGTCTAGCCTAAGCCCCAGCGGGTGTTGCAAAGGGTGACAAAATGCCACCTGGATAGAGACTGTTCTCTGTCCGCTAAACGAGCACCAGTTTTGGCGAAAGTTGTGCTTACCCGCGGGAATCTAGGTCGGACCACAACTTGGGTGCCCGGAGGGATGGTCTTGTCGCAATCCTCGACGGCGTTGCCGTTGTCTGAATCCACGAAGGGGTGGTGCTGGTCACCGTCGATGCGAGCTTGGTGCGCGTTGCGTACCGCGCTGTGTGCCGAAGGCTCGAAAAGGTACGCTGTCATCGGGTGCCACTGTATTTTGTAGGTGGTAGCGTTGATGTTGTTTTCATTATTCCCAGGAAGCAAAGAGTGGGCAAGCACGCACGAGTTGAGAAGGCAAGGGGGAGGGCATGTAAGGGGTTTTATTGTTGGAGAGCAATGCTTCCGCTAATCACGTATACATGTTGCCGTTTTGGTGGGTCATTTGGGAGATATAAGCAAGGGTTTACGGAGACTAGTCACCACCCTCCAAAATGCGGCTTCCATACCACTTCCAGAATGCCACTCTTCAGAACCAACAGTGATATTAATCAATATACCTATTGAAGTGTTTCACTGTTTTGGTCACAACACGCAGCTACGGGATTGAGTCGAGGAACTTCGTTAACGTAGTGATCGCAACTTTAAGGTGTACTCCTACGGCTGTTCTGGCGCAAAGGGTCCAGTTCCACACGCTGCTTCCTTCACAACACACCTTTCCCCCACCCCTGATGGTTGGCCGGTACGCGGCGCGAAAGTGGGCCCTCGTAGACGCTGCATCCACATTCTCCTTTGCCCGCCCAGTGTCGCCCGCGTGCGCACCGGAACGGTTGCGACTCGTCCTCGGACTGCTACTCGCGGCCGCGGATCTTTCGTCTGGGTGGATGGATGTGTATATAGGTATATGCTTGCGTTAGCGCGGTATGATGGCCGGACCGTTTGGAAGAATAACGTCTGATGCTAGAAATCAGCCAGGTTGTCGTCGTTCGGTGCACAACACGACGTACTTCCGGCACCATTTGATACTGTTTTTTCACTGGACAGAAAACATTGGGCGGGGTCCTGCCGCTACATGCAGACCCTGTCTGGCGCAAGCAGCTGTTCGTGGAGAGCCGTTGATGCACGCCAACAGTTTCCAACGCCGAGCAACCCCTTCGGCCAAGGCACAAATAATCTGCCCATCACCGGGTGTGGTGAGTGGGTGCCCTGGTATGGACTCAATATGACTTGCAGAGGACAAACCTACTGGTTGTCGCTCGGAGAAAACATGCACGCTAAAGGCCAAGACACGTGTAAACTTGCAAAGAAGGACAGAGCTGTTGAAAGCAGGTGCCCTGGCCGAAGGTAGGACACTCGTTTGGGGCACTTTGACGGGTTTCAGGGTGCTGCCTGAAAATATAATTTGAGTACTACTACATGATTCGGTCGGTGCCTTATCATACCGTGCGGCCTGTTTGGACTCTTTCCGGAGGAAAACCCAGCGTCTCGGTCTTGAACTCCGGGATCGCCCACAACCGTGCTTTCATCACCAGCGCTTGGGGCTTCTGAAACTGCCCCCGATCCACGAGGACCTTTTCGGCGCAAGACCGTGCCGGTGTTTCCAGCGTTGCAGTTGTCGCAAGTTTGCACACGCCATGATCAACGGCGCGGGTCGACCATTGTTTTCGTAGTACTTGGTTTTCTGTGTTTATGGAATCCGCAAT